CCTCTCTCTCTCTCTCTCTCTCTCTCTCTCTCTCTCTCTGTCTCTGTCTCTTAAACACACTCACTCACTCTCTTTCTGTCTCTCTGTCACTGGCCCCCTCTCTCTCCTCCTCTCGTAAAAATGTTACTAAAACTAAAACTTAACTAAAACCGAACCATTTCCCAAGGAAGGACACCCTTTTCCAACCCCTTCATTGAAATGCTCTCGTTGAAAAATCTCCTACCGTCGTCCTCGCTGCCATTGTTGTACGTACGTCCACCTTTTGCATTTTCCGCCTCTCGCTTATTTAGCAGGTCTGGATGGCCCAACTTTCTGATGTAACAGAAACTTTCGACCCTCCATTCTTTAAATAGGTTAAAATCGTCTTTCTCGAACGGCGTCACGGCGATGCAAATATAAATATGGACCCGCATAGACTGAATATTCTGGATGTACGTGCCAGGTCAAGTAAGTTCCTGATGGAGACTAAAGTTAACTTTTAAAAATTGCTGAACCGTTTACAGTATCAGAGAACTATGAAAATGTCACAAACAATTTGTGCGTGGCTGTTAGACACCAAACACCAGCTCTTCGTTGTGAAAAGAGGCCTGTGTTCCACAACACGAGGGACTCACCCCCTCCCCCGCCCGCTCCCTCACCATCCCCAGTCCTTTCGTTTCTCGTGACCACCGGACGGTTGAAGTGTTCCACTAGTAGGTCACACGTCTTTACTTTCCCTCTGTCATTTCTGCAGTTTTAGTTAGTGTAATAATTTTACGGCACGTGCAGCACAATGATGTCATATAGGGGCCGAAGATAGAGGTGTTTCAAGAGAGTGGCAACATAAAAAGGAGGTGATCGATATAAGGACGACATTTGTTTGATAGGAAAGAAGGAGCAAACTACACCAGAGTACCCGCCAACCACCCATCTTTTTTGTTTCTGTCTGTCAGTTGCCGGTGTTACTTTTCCCCTGGACTAAACAACCATTACTGTGTCGATATTCTTCGCTTTACTCAAACAAACAAACGACCCTTTTTTTTCATGGCAACAGCAATAACGAAACATGTTTATGTTCAAAAGGCAACGAACAAGGAAGACGACTTTCTTCGTATCGGATAACTGTACGTTATTTTTACCTTCAAGACGTAAACAAATTCCTCCTCACTTTCATATTCGTTCGTGCGAGTGTGATTCATTTACATCTTCAGATCCTCCGAACGGAAACGAAGTTGCGAAATTATGTATGTGGACGCTGTCGTGGATGTTTGCGTGTGCGGTGCGCATTGAGTGAGCGCATAATATTCAGTTCACAACATGCACGACATTCGGTTTTTGCTTTCTTCCGTGCTTTAGCAGTGAGTCTGGCTATATTTAGTGTCGACTGTTTTGTCTCTCATCACGCGGGAAGACCGTAAATCCGTGTGAGACACGCACACTCACGCACGGCCATCTTTTGTTTCCAGGGATTAGCTACAGCCCACTGTGTCCTGGACGAAATGTATTCATATACCTTTTCTGTTCTGAAAGGAAATGTTATTGTTACGAGAAATAGAAATTTCATTTTCAGAGACGTGCACGAGCTGTAAAGTGGCTTTTTCAATAAAGATCTTACGGCTGCTTTTAAAGCTTAACTAAACTCGAGAGTTCTGATTTAAAGAGGCAATAAATCAATATTTAATAGGTAATACAAACGTAATGAAGTGGAAGCAGTTGTGAGGATCTCGCAAGGATCGTGAAGTTCTTTGACAAAGAAAGAGGAACAATTTACGGACATAATACACTTAGAGCTTATGGTGGCTTCAAACAGGTAGGGCGGGTTGTTGTAGTTACATCTCTTGTTGTCGCTGCTTTTGCTGCCGGTGTCTATTGTTACCAGATTTACTAGATCTAGTCTTGTTTGAATCATCCAATTTTTTTACAGGTGTAAGTAACTAAAATTGTTAATATTGACGCTACAAAGGCCGTGTTATTGATATCAGATTAACTGTAAAATCATAGTAAATTGCAGAAATAGGAACCTTTTTGATAATGAGATTCAATCAAATTGTTGTCACTGATGTACGCAGAGAGAAAAAGGGTAATTATCTACTCAGGGTCGTGAATGAAACATGCATACTTTTAGTGACCTCTGCTCTGATAGTTTGAGTACTTAATGTATTTAAAAGAAAGCAAATAATTATGTTGTAATATTTGGTTTAATCAACATGAAAAAAAAATCTAACCGAAATAAAATTCCACCTTTATTAGCCCCCGTGGGGAGAAATGTGTTGACAATGGTATATCATACATGTGTATATCACACATTCATAAACAGAAACAATAGATGCGCTGGGAGAATATCAGTGCCACCGCTTTGAAAGCATATAGAAAAACAGCACACTTTCTTTGTTTAAATTTAGATAAACGTATCGCAGTCCCTATCCATCAAAACGAAAATAGAACACACCTAGAAACAAGCAAAACACACAGTACCCACAAAAAGAAGGACAGAGACAAACAACCCTCCCAAAAAAAACCCACAACAACACAAAAGGAAAGAATAAAAAAGGTGCATGTATGACTAAAAACCGTGATAACAACAATCAATATTGATTTACAAACCTCGTTTCTGGGTAGCTCCGAACAGCATGATGTATGGGAAAGAGAGAGAGATAG